CTTTGTTAAGTGTAAGGTCCCAAGTTCGATCCCTAGTACCAAAAAAAAAGCTCCTCTTAAAATAAGTTTTGTTGTTACGTTGGTTATCAACTACCACATTACATGCTGCCCCAAAATTTACTGGTTCAAAGCAAACACTGACAGCCTCAGAGTTTATGTGGGTTAAAAGCCTGAGCACAGTTTGTCTGGGTGCCTCTGGCTTAGGGGCCTTCATGAGGTTGTCAGTAGAGCTGTCTGTCACCCAGGGCTCCAGTCTTAACAAAGTTTAACTGCGTCTGAAGAACCCATTTTCAAACTTATGTTCCGGCTGCCAGGCCACAGTTTCTTGCCTTGTGGCACTCTCTGTACATTGCTTCAGGGTCCTCATGAAAAGGCAGCCCATAGTCTGAGAAAGGGGAGGCAGAGAGTAGAAGCCAGAATATAGAAGCCAGAGCCATGGATAAATCATCTTGAAAATAACACTCCATCAGTTCTGCCATGTTCTGTTTGTTAGGATCAAGTCCACAAGCCCAGCAAACACTCAAGAGGAGAGGATGATACAAGGGAATACAAAGAGACAGAGACCATTACGGGGTGATACTAGAGAGGACCAACCACAGCTCTGACTCACACATTTGGGTGAACTTTACACACTGTGGTTAATTGCAGAGTCTTCATTTTAATTGTGGGATAATAATCTGTCCATTTTATGAGGAATTCCAACCATATTTGATGTGGGGTAGGAACTAAGTGGTGAAGTAGTAAATAAGACAGAACAGGAGAGAAGGGATATGGCTCTTATGAAAAGGGAAACCATAGTCATATTTATTGAGTCCTCCCATATGTTAATCATTATGGTAGGCAAGAAGAGATGAGTGCAGGGCAGATTCCTGGATGGCCTTGCATGGCCCAGCTCTTCCCTTTTATCACTTGTAGTCTTCAGCATAACCACAGAATGTGTTAGGAGTGCAGCACACTGAGATAAGGGGGAGCTGCCTAGAGAGACCCAGCTCTGCTTCCATCGCTGCCTGCACAGGACATCCGGCAACACTAGCACAGCCACCCAAGTTTGCAGAAGGGCATAAAACCCAGGCACACAAAGATGAGACAGTATCTTCCCTGGGCAGTGTTATCACCCCTACAAGACCATCTTCCTGTAAACTCTGGTTTCTGTCACCTCTCATTGCTTACATGTGAGTAATAATGTTGCTTTGCTCAACTTACCATATGAGTGTTCTATTTTATTGGACTCACACTACTAGTCAAATAGCCAGTATGTAATGACTCTCCTTCACAACAGAGTTATATAAAATTCACTTGCCTTCCCCCAAGGGGGAAGGCTAGTTCCTTCCCCTAAACCTCCATCACCCCACAAAGAGAATTAACTGAAAAAAATTCTCAGCCTATTTGAAGCCCAGAGGCAAAACACCACAGTGAATGCAGCTCAGTCCTCTTGCCACCTTCCCTGTGAAAGGTGTGTCATTTAATCTCTAAGTCTTAGTTTTCCTATCTAAAAAAGAAAAGTGATATCTTCCAACATATCTCTCACAGGTGAATGGTGAAGATGAAGAGCTATCTCTAAGAAAAATCTTTAAATGTATAGCACCATCCAAATAGAAGAAGTTAGTATGATTACTCAATTTTTCTCCAGCACAGTGAGACAACCAATTATTTGCCTTTCCCTATTTTCCAACAAATACAAGCAAACTTCCATTAATGATTAGATATTTAGAGGAAACATGCTAGTGGAAAGTCTGGACCCATCAGGAATACCCTCCTAGCCAAAATTGTCTACAATATTGATAGAGGAGGTAGGTAGGACGTGGCAGTGTTGGCTGGAGGAGAAGTGGGCAGGACCTGTTGATTACAGGATCCCAGGATGCTGCAAGTAGAACTCCTCACAGTTCCCACGAGATGTGGACTGCATACAAGGACACAGGTGCCAGGAGGAGCCCGCTATCATGACTCTTCATGGTAGCCCATCCTGGGTCTCCCAGGTGCAGGGCGCACTTTTATTTTTGCTCTTTTTCTCTTTTCCTCTTTTGTTCAGCCCAAGTTCGCTCTGCAAAACCCGTTTTTCCCTTATCCCTTCACCTCTCCTTTTTCAAATAAACTTTTGACACTGTTTTTGGCTTATCTTGTCCAATTCTTTGTTCAAAACAAGAAGGACCTGGAATACTTTCATTTGGTGAGCCATTTTTAAAGGAACTACCCAACAACACATGCTGTGCAAACAATGCCCAAGCCTGAGTGCCTAAAAAACAACAAAACCTTCTCGCTCTGTGCGACCACAACAGAATGGCCGAAACCCTGCTCTGTCATCTCGGCTGGGCTCTGGGTTCATGGAGCAATGACTGGGTCATACAGCAGGAAGGGGGACATGGAAACTCACACCCTGGCTCTTCGGTGGTCCAGAGAGGAGCGCATCGTTCCCTCTTTCACTTCATTGCCCAAAGCAAGTCGTGGGGTCCAGACTACCATGGGAAGAGGAGAGACGCACAGTGGTCCTATGTGTCCAGAAGGAAGGAGCTCATACAGTAGCGGGGAGGCGCTCCTGCACACTGCCTCTGGGAAAGCAGATGGTTTGTATTTCCAAGCTATAGGAGACAATTAACCTGTGACCGAGTTCTAATTTGTAGGCATGCTCTCCTCCTTATGAATTACTTCATATTTTATGCAATGACTGATTACACCAAACTCTTTTTTGTTTAAAAAAAAAAAACACCACGGGGCCTATTAAGAAATCTTATCAGCAACACTTCCTGCAGTGTGTCTCGAACTGGTTCTCACAGAGAGAAGGCTGAAGGGGTGCTGTGTGCGCTTGTGTGCCTGCATCTGTGAGCATGTTCTTCAGACGCTAGAAAATGGAAAGATATGACTGGCTCAAGGTCAAGATTAGTCAATGCTTATAAATTTCACTTTTCAAGGTTAATGACTTAGCCCCTTCTAATTTAGCTGCACTGAAACTTGTTATAAATTTGTTAGTTCAGTTGCATCTGTTTTAGATCGGCTCTCAAATCACAGGCTGCTCTCATTCCTTCTCCAAACTTCCTCTTTCTTGGATTCCTACCACCATGATAATCCAAATGAACACTGAACTGAGGCTTCATTAGTTCTGGCATCTACTCCCAGCTCTTCCATTAACTGTATTACTTTGGAAAAGTTACTGCACCTCTCCAGACCTTATCTCTGAAATGAGAGAGTTGGCTAGGAGAATTCCTTCTAGCTACAACTGCTTATGGTTCTAAGTCACGCTGTGAAACAGATAGAGTCCCTGTTTCTTCCTGTTTCCTGGATTTATCAGCAACTGGAGGAGCTATCTCAGCAAAAGCTTGGCCTCCTAACATACAACAGAGTCCCTTTGAAGATCAGTGACATTTCAGCACCTCCCAATGTATTATTTCCTCTGTTCCCTCCATGCCTGCTTTGTGGTGCAGAACCTCAAACATAAGGTGCAATTCTTATGCATTCAAATTTTAATACTTTTTTTCCTTACTTAAAACAAAAAAGAGTACACACACACACAAGTCAAAATCTATTCCTCTGGTGATATTAATCAAGATTTTGAAGGTTTTTGTTGTGGTGCTAATGTTGATGATTTTTAACCACAGGTTAAGAAAGTAAATGTTATGGCTTTTAATTGTTTATTCCTCTTAACATTTTACAGCCTTATATATGATAGTCAATGTACTAAAAACACTCTGGAGCACCAGTCTAGAAGAACAAGATTATATTCATTTATTTGGTTTTGTTTATCAGGCCACTGAAGAAACTATTTCAGGAGAAAAAAATTCTCAGGTGCCTAACTGTAACTAGATTTCTATACCTTCAAGTAAAAGTTAAAGATTTGTCTCAAAATGTCTTCAACACCTTAAAAATGTTGACCTCAGATTCATAGTCTTTCTCGAATTTTCTCTGCTCTGATGAGTAGTGTGGGAAGCCGAAAGATTTTAGATTCTTGTGCATTTTGATCAAACTCTAGTGTCCAAGTAACCTTGAAAAAGTTACATAAATTCTCTGAGCCTCAGTTTTTTCATCCATGGAAAGGATACCTGTCTAATAAATTGTTGTGAATAATAAACAAAATGGTAGCAGTAAAGCTCTGAATTTAGAAACTACACATGACAGATGACCAAAAATCTTCACTTACACAAAACCCCTGGGACTACATACATGTCAGTCTGTTCCATCGAATTTGCATCAAGATACAGTATTGGGCAGATATTTAAAGAATGAAGGAGAAAAACAAAGGAATATCTTAGTTCAGGCAAATCTGCCCCATGAGTAAAGAAACAACATATTTTAATTTTCGTGAAAGTTAACTAGAGCATTTTAAGCCTCTCAGTGATCCCTGAGTTAAGGATCTGCATCCCATTTTGCCTTATTCTCTCATTTTGCCTTATTCTCTTATTCTCTCCCTGAGTTAAGGATCTATCTGCATCCCATTTTGCCTAATTGCTTTCATAGGGTACAGAGCCAAAAGTGGTACCTAAAACTAGGCATGGGAAGTATCTGTTTTCTTATATACCCTCATCTTAGGATAGACAGCAGGAAAAAATACTGCATGCAGAACTCTTTTATACATTTTATAACAGCCTTACCAATCTATTCCCATAACTCAAGCATTTCATCATCACTGAAGTAAGTCCAAGATGTGGCCTCCAGTCACCTACTGTATCTGGAACAAGCCATATGTCTTGTGTACTTTTAGTCTTTTTTAAAAGAAATTTGTGAAAATACTAAACAAAAGAAAAATTTTGCTGTAGCAGAGTTCTATGTATACTTCAACTTAAGCATTATAAAATATTTTTAATCTCCATTGCTCAAAAACATAATTCAGGTTCAGCCAGGTGTTCAAACTGCAGCCCACAGGGTGAATGCATGTGGCTTGCTTTGGCCATGCTGAGTGAAAAGGAATTGGCTTGGGTTTCAAATAAAATACATAATATAGTTCATGTATACAAGTAATGAAGCTTTATTTCTGTATTTTTAATAATGTTTATCGTAATACAGCCCAAAGGTTGAACACACCCTCCCCCACCATTTTTGAGGCAAAGAAACAGTCCTACTTCTCCCAAGTTTCAGGTTTCTTTGTAATTAGCTCCAGTTAGATATTATTTCAGAGTTTCTCTGCTTTCGCATCCATTACAGCTTTTCCCTTTCTACCCTTTATCCTCTTCCCAAATTCAGGGAGGTTTTCTCAAGTCCAACCAAGGAACCACCACATCTTCCAGCTAAAGAGATCTCACGTATTTTCTAGTCTTCCCTTCTGCAAAGAAAGCAAGGCTCTAAGAAATTGCATGAACCGCATTTTGATTCTTTGAAATACTTCTTGTGTATGAAATTTAAGTATTTGGGTTAAAGGGCAGGGAAAATTGCATACGTGGCCTGTACATTCCTTTCCAAGTTATAAGTCTGTGATTAACATATAATATAGTCATTTAATCCGTCTCACAGGAAGGGGCGGGATCCGACAGACTTATTTCCTTTCTTCCAAGTGCCACCTTGCAGTTGTGGTCTTGTGGTAACTTGGCTTGTACAATTAGAAACCAAAATTAGAAGCCCAGCAACCACAAGAGGAAAGTGCTCTGGAAGGGCTCTAGGCTGTGACCCAGAAATCACAGCCCGAGACACTGTCAGGCCAGGCGTGGGGCAGAGGTCTCTCTCCTGCCAGATCCTGGCCGCTCCACTCTACACACTCACAGGCACACCTGGAGGCCCTCTACTTACTTAGCTGAGGCTTTCCGCAAATCCTAGGGAGAAAGGAAGGTAGAACGCCGGCTGCTGAACCGAGGCCATAAGTCAGCTCATCACAGGGTGGTGTCATCAGCACTTCTGCCCCCTGCCAGGGAAAATGCAAGTGTTTTTCATCAGAAACTCTGATAGGAGCCTCCCTGACGTTCAGCTGTGGGTTTTATTGTTATTTTTAAAAAAGATTATTGTCAAACACATGAACTTTATAACATCTGTTTTCATTCTGAGTTCCTTTTCTCCAAAGACATTTCATCAATAAGAATTACAGTTGAATACCCAGGAATTTGAAAACTTCACCAACTCATATACAAAAATCAAACATGTTTTCAAGATTGGGGACTTGGGGTGAAGGAGAGGAGTTCGCAAGCCCACCGGTCTGGCCTTAGCGAGCACAAAGGTCAGTAGGACCCAGTGAGTTCCTCTCTGTCTATCCAATTGTGTAATGACATAAAGATAAATGCCACGATTCACCCATCGACCAACAGTTTAAAATTATTTCATTATGACTTCCAGGTTGACTGAGGTATATACCATTATGTTCACCCCCTAGAGAGCCACAAAAAATTAAAGAAACACTGAGAACTCTGAAACATAGAACTCCAGCCCCTTACCCACCAATGATACTTAGCTAGGTCAATAATACTTGCTTTCTAAAAAAATACAGGAATGTGATATTACTCTTTTATTAAAACAGTCTTTTAGCTGGTCTGTTTATGTGAATTTTTTTTTAAACACATCATATTGGTGAATAATGTTATAATTAGTGAAATTTCAGGAAGGAAAGCATTCAGGACTCATATTTTATGGCCATGTCACACAAAATATTGTGGTTAGTGTCTGATTTATCAACAATCTGTGAGAGGGATGATATTCTTCTGTGTTTTTAAGAGAGCAGGAGGAAAACTGGAGCAGTAATTATGTGGGCAGTGACTGATTTACACTGCTTCCCATTGCAGTCAAATAATCTTGAGCAAAAAGGGGGAAAGAGGTAATCATAGCAGTACCACATCGCTGTAAAACATGGAGCATTTCTTTACACAGTGCTTTTCAGTGTGCAGTTTTGTGTGACATTTAACACTGTGACTGGCCTTTGAAGTCAGCTGAAACCACAACTCTACATAATTACAAAAGATACATCCTGTGGTTCTCAAGCCACAAAATGATGGCACAGAACACAGAGGAGACATACCTGGGGATGGGTGTGTGTGAAATGCTTGGTTTTTTTCCTCCCAACTAATAAGGAAAACATCACTACCCAGCCCCCCTAGTTGTGACTCAAATACCATTGAAGTGATGAGTTCAAAGGATGCCACAGAAATCCAGCTTGGGCCTGTTACTGATCACATAAAGAGCTCCAAGAGCAGGGATAGGCTTATCTCAAACTACACTGCTTTGAGGTTTTGTTGGAGTTTGGGGGTTTTTTCTGCTTTGAGGTTTTGAAGCGTGTGCCTGCTAGTATCCAAATGCGCTTAATACAAGTCATGGCTGGGTCAAGAGAATGTCATTTGGTATCGCTACAAGGATAGGAGGTGAAGGCTATTTTAAGAATAATATAGTTTGGGGGGATTCTGTGAAGTTTATGAGTAGTCAGAAAAGAGAACATAAAACTCTCTCTACACATGTAATTAAAATACAGGGTAACTAAACTCATGTGTAAGTAATAGGAGAGCAGAGTGGAGCCAGGGGATCATAATAAGCATCCTGGCTGAAGTGAAAAGCAATTTGTGGTGGGGCTTTCAAATTCCTACTTTAGTGGACAGATTTGGAAAGCTCACGTATAGTCTTCCTGGCTGGGTAGGTTTACTTTCATAGACCTTTCGTTTTTAAAAAATCTCCCTAAAAATAGCAGCTGGGTTTGGTTTTGTTTTTTTGTTTTGCCAGAGAAATCACACAGTTTTATAAATGCATCAGTGTTTCATGGGAACAAACGCTAAGTTGAACTATAATCAGAATTCCTGTCCTCTCTCAGTAATGGGGTGAAGGAGGTTACTAGGCCTGAAACATCAGTATCTCGGCCATAGTCTCCCACACTTCCATGGGGCTTATCAAATTCCAAAGCATGTTCTACAAGTGGATTTATGAAATTGAAGCAAGGGAATGGGGCGGGGGGGGAGACTTTACAACACAACAGATGTCACTAACCCTCCTGAACTTCGACGTTAATGTGCACTGCACATCTCTGTGAGGGGCTGAATTCTTCATTGTCCCGGATAGTCTAGTATAGGGTCTACCTGTCTCTGCTGTCCAAATGGGGCCGTGGGGAAGACTGTGACTGGAACTGCAAATTGTTAGACTTCCTATGCTGCCAAGACCTGGCGCCTTGGAAGGTGTTTGACTGTTATTCTAATAAGCCCTATAAAACAGACCCCCAGTAGCCACAGGCCAGATTTATAAGGTGGTTGGGGTGGGAGAAATAGTAGGATACCAACAGATCATGAAAGAACAAAAGGGCCTGCACATGGTTTGGGATTATAAGTGATCTGTAAAAGGAAGAATGGTGCAAAAAATCCTAGTCATGGGTCATGGCCTTCAGAACCTCCACATCTAAGCCATACATACATAATTTTTCAGTGAATGTTGGCTTGAATAAGAAACTATACAGAACTGCAGAATGCTAGCATGGAAAGACCCCATCTCCACTGGCACCATCATCTGCCGATCTCTGCAGAAACAGCATCAATAACAAGAGTACTTCAACTAGGGAAGATGAGATGACTTAGAAAAAAATAAGTAACTAGTAGTGGATTGGAAGTTAAAGAAAAAAATGTTAAATATCAATTTTCTGGTGTTGCTGTGTCATCCGGGTCTCTGGGGCTGGGGAAGCCTGTTTTCTAGAATTCACAGTCTAGAGGGTGGGAGTTGAGATTCCAGACCTGCCCACCCCTGCCAACTACCAGCTTCACCCAGAGCACCTCTGCATTCTTAGCTTTTCCATATTGGGCTTCCGAGTTACTTCCCGTTGAAGAGTTTTTACATTTTTATTTTTATTAGTGCACATCTGTAGGACATAGTCATCACCAGGACTTGGCACGTGCAAGTGATACATCTTCAGTCTTTCCCACCTCATGTGCTCTTCTCCTCCTCCTGAAGACAGTACATGAGTGTGCGCACACTGCTCATCCTCCCACTCAGGAAATGAGCTGCACAGAACCGAACCTAAACTAGTCCGGCAATGTCAGGCAGTCACTTCCATCTCTGGTCTCTAAAATCCAAGGCTTGGACCAACAGCCACTCAGGTCTCCTTTGGGTGCTTCAGCCTCAGCTCCTCCCCCAACGCCAAGAGTGCAGAGTGCAGTGAACAGAGCTTTCCTACCCTGCAGGGCGAGAAGACTCCTTCTGCAGAGTGCACCAGCCCTGGCCATGAACCACCCTGCCTTTCCTTCTCTCACTCCAAGCTCCAGCTTCTCCTAGGCTAATGAGCCTCTCCAATCTGATCTCCTGAAAATCTTTCCCTTTCACTCCCTCAATCCTCTGAGCCAGAAAGTTTTTTATGCCCCTTCTTTCCCCTCTGGGGGCTGTGAAGAGGGCAGAGGCAGAACCTTCGGATAAGCCAGGTGTTTCTGGCTTCTCTGTCTCATCCTAGTTTGCCTAATATCAGCCTGGAGAAAAGAAAAAGAAGAAGGTCCCGCCCAGCATGGGGGCGGAGGCGGGCAAGTGGCTTCAAGCAATCCTGACTACACTTGCCATAAAATGCCGGCTGCCCATGTTTGTTGAACTCTGAGACTTGAATAATATTGTGCACTTTATCTTTATAGCCTCTTTTATGCTAACAGGCCTAGGGGTAGCCAAAAAGGGCAATGTACTGTAGTCTGCTAAAAGCTTTGCCATTTGATTGCTTCATAATTTCACCATTCATCTAATTTGGAGTGCACATTCGAGCAACAAACCTGTCTGTCACCCTTAACAAGCTCTTTGGTACAGACCGGAACAATCTCCCATAATGTAAACAATCGTCTCCTTCGGCAGAGAAAGAAAGCACACAACACGTTCTTCACACTCCCGGATGTAATTACTGTGGACTTTCCCACCCACCATGGGATTGGATTTCTCAATTCCCAGGACTCTTCATCCAGGAATATCTTTCAAAGTGTTTTCTCCTATTCTTTCTTCACAACTACTTCTCTCACAATTTCTTCACACCTTCTATGCACAAGCCACCACACTAGGAAATGCAAAGCCCAGTAAGATTGGAGTTACACTTCCCAGAGTAACAGCCTTCTGGAGGAAAGAGAACTGCAAGACTCCGAGTCTTCCTCTCTGTGGCTGTGCAACTTCGGTAACTTAGTCATATTCTTCCACCCAAATTTTCTGATTTACAAAATGACGTTCTAAATTCTGCTCTACAAAATCTTTTCTAAATTCATGAGGACTAAAAAGAACAATAAACATGTATGTACATAATTAACAATATATACAAAGTGAATTAGGTACATTTAATTTTTACCTACTCTCTACTCACCCACCCAATCATTCTTCAACCCATTGTCTTATTGGGAACCCCATTTACTGCATACCCATGCACCAAGAGGACGAGTGAGGGAGAGTGAAAACAAGAGAAGAGTTTACGATAAATGGATCTAGGGTTCATTTTAGTGCTTCAACTGCTTCCCTGAGGATCGAGACCCTTCCTCCATTAATGAAGTCTCCTAATGTGCACTATGCGATAGCTGACATAATTGAATTGGAGGAAGGATAGAGAGTAGACTACTCCACATTTCCATCAATGCCTCTAAAGTTTCAATCCCTATAAGAATAGAAATGGTTTAAATGAAAGGAAATTCTTGGTGCTGGGGTTATAGCTCCATTGGAGAGAGTGTGCTTAACATGTGTGAAGCTCTGGGTTCAATTCTCAGTACAAGAAAGAAAGAAAAAGAGAAAGGAAGAAAGGTAGTTCTCAAAAGAGGTCTACTGAGTCATGTGGGAGAAATCAAAGAGACAATGCAAAGTTACCAAAGAGCTTGATCAATTCTTTGCACTGCTTTGGCAAGACCAATAATTTGTTTTGATGTTGTATTAAAAACAAATCCTAAATTGTAAAGGCCATGAGAGTCATGGGATCATTTCTTATAGTCATCAAAAGTAAGTGCA